CTTATAACTTGGGGAAAAATTTTTACTTAACTTACTGTCACTTCTAATTATCTTCTTTCCCTCACTAGAATGATAAAGCTCCAGGAAGACTTTTGTGCTCACTACTGTAGCCTCCACATTTAGAATATAGCCTGGCAACTGATGGATGCTTAATCAATATCTGTTGAAAGAATTAAATCTTATTTTCTTTATCTGCAGCCGATTTTTTTTCCTTTAATAAGTTTTTAATGTAATATGTCTTAGAACTTACCACTGTATATAGTTCATCTTTATTCTTAGTTACCACAAAGCATAGATGGACCATAATTTATCTGGCCATTTCCTGATTGAAGATACTGTTTCTATTTTGTCCACCATACTAAAACAATAGAGTTATAAAGTAGTAAAGGAAGTCTTACAAAAGTAAACAAAAGGACAAAGATAATGTAGGATGCATAAAAGAAGAAAGATCAGTTTGAAAGTTCTAACATCTGACTGAAGAGAGTTCTAAGGAACAAAAAAAACAGTTGTTAATGAACTGATACAATGAAATTTTCCAGAGCTGAGGTGGACAAGTTTCTGGATTGAAAGGGCTTTCTAAACGCTTAGCAAAATTAATGATAAAAGAACAAAAAATGATAATGATAAAAAACAGAGAGAGAGAAGGTCCTAAAAGCTTGGGGAGAGGGGCAGAAGGGCTGGTGGCGATATAGGAGAGAATGCAAATAGGGTCACCTTAAAGTTGGGTGAAACAGAATGGCATTGAATTCCACGGCAAGGCTGGATGCCACAGAAAGTTAGAGCAGTGCCTTCAAAAGCTGAGGGCATTTTTTTTTTTTTTTTACATGGACTTTTGTATCCTGCCAAATCAAGTGTAAAGGTAAAGACTTTTTCAGGCATGCAAGGGCTGTCACCTCCTATGTACCTTTTCCTGTGTTAGTTTCTTAAGGTCCTGAGATGTACTTTAGCAAAACTGAGAATAAACAAAAAAAGAGACATTGGAAATCAGGAAACAATGGCTCTAACCCAGAAAGGCAGTAAAGGGAAGCACTGAAGATGATAACTGCCAGCAGACCTCAAGGGCAGCTGGCCCAGACTGGAGTGGAACGTGGAGCATTCTGAGGGGGAAGCCTGCTGGGAAAAGGGGGTGGGGTGGGCTTTTGCTGGAATATTTAATATGGTACAGCAATTAAAATTAGAAGTTAAAGGAAACCATTGATGAAGGAAAGAAAGAACTCTAGGGAATACAAAAAGCTGTCTGAGGAAAGAAATGTATTCATAATATAGTACTTGGCTAGTACATAGCAATTACAAAGTCAAATACTGTAGCACTGATTATTTATTCAACCCAAAATAGTGATATATCAGAAGACTACAGAAGGAGTTATCGAGGGTAGCTTCAGAGCTAAACCTAATATACCATAGTCTTGAATAAATAGGTAAGTCTAAAATGGATAAGCCAGAAAGCTGTAGGATAAGCACACTATTTCCCGAAATGTAGTAACTATCCAGAAGAAACCACCAAGAGATGAAATTAGTTACCTCTAGGGATGGAGATTGAGTATGGCGAGTATTATGCAGACAATAGGTAGATGGTTTTTCATTACTGTCTTTCAGTACTATTTGGTTTTATGAATATAGACAAGAATTACTTGGATAAAAATTAAATTATAAATTCACAAAACTAATACATGTCCATTGTAAAATATTCATACCATATTTTAAAAAAGGCATGAGTGAGTGACACCATAATTCCATCACTCAGGAATAACTACTGGTAGTTTTATATATGTATGTCCTTCTAAACTGTATTTTTAAATATGTATTTAATATTCTGAAACATTTTTACAGTAATGATTATTATACTGTGCTATTTTAGACCACACTTATTTTACTTAAATATATCATGATTTTATTCCTATGTCAATAGTCTAGTTCTTTGTGAACATTTTTCATCACTAAATAGTATTTTATAGATATGTGTGCCAAAATTTATCGAATTACGATACTTCTAATTCTTTGCCATTTTTAATCACACATCTGTAGTAGATACCCTTGAAGAGGTTGGCCCAGGCATGTTGTGCTAAAAATTACTTTTCACCTGAAATGAGGGCCTGATAATCATGTTATTCTCTGGCTCTTTCCCACTGGACCAATCAGATAATCTCCCAGAAATTTGAAAATTAAGATTCATATATGCTACACAGTCTCTATTAAAGGAAATGTGCTTTAAGAGAAGCAGGTTAAGGGGCCTAGAAGCCCCAGAGAAAAGACAGAGAGACTAAAATTGACATTGAAGCCAACTTGGTTGGTAATGTCTGAGTCACACAACAAATATTTACTAAATGTCTTTTATGCCAGACACTATAAGGAGAATACAGTGGTGGGAGGAACAAGGCAGACAAGTTCCTTGCTCTCTTGCAACTTTTATTCTACTGTAGAAGGTGTAACAAAAAAGATAAACATGGAATGTGGTAAGAACAGTGTAAGAAATAGGTAGGGTGAGTGATAGGGAAAGGAGATCAGGGAAGGCCTTTCAGAGGAGGTGAATTTTCTGCTAAGACGAAAGGGTGGAGTGAGCCAGACAAGATAAAAGCTGGGGGAAGAGTTCCTGTGGGGACTGGAGAGGTGAGGAATCTTCTGGGCACAGGGAACAGTCAAGGTGATTGGATAGAAAGAAGAGCTTCATGTGTTTGAGGAACAGAAAGGAGTTTGGTGTGACTGTCATGAAAGAAGCTGGGGGAAGTTAGTTTGAGATGAGTGTGTGGATGCAGGGTAGAACCAATGCATGTGAGCAATTTGGACTTTACTTTAAATGCAATGAAAGGCCTTTGGAAGGCTTCAGCAGAGAAGTGTCATGATTTTATTTTCAAAATGTCTTTTATGAGTCACGACTGTATTACCGGCCCTTGAGCTCTGTTAGACATCCTTCTATCCTTATGTTACATAATTTTTTTTTTTAAATTTAAGTTGATGCGAGTAAATTTCAGTTAAGTTACTTACACTCAGAAGGCTGAGTTAAGGTAACATCCTTGTTGTCTTCGTGTATACAACCCTGGCCCTTTTCATTTCTTTGATTAGTTTGTTGGCCATTTTCTTTTCTTTTTTTTTTCTAATTCCTCTTCCTAGTCCTTGTTCTTTCTGTTAGATAATTGGACTTTCTCTTATCATTTTATAAAGAATCGTTGTATGTTGTCAAGAGTAAACTTTTGTCTTTCATATTTATTTTCATTATTTTGCCAGTTAGATGTCGTTTGTCTTTTAACCTTGCTTATATTATTCTTTGACATTCAGAAGTTTTTTTTAAACTTAATAGCTGTATTAAATAAAATTCACATAAAATAAAGTCACCTTGTTAAAGCAGACAATTCAGTGATTTTTTTATATATTCACAAAGTTGTGCATTGATCACTCAATTCCAGAACATTTTCATCACCCGGAAAAGAAACCCCATGCCCATTAGTAGTCACTCCCCATTCTCCTCTAGTGCAAGCCCCTGGCAACCACTAATCTGCTTTCTGTCTCTGTGGATTTACATATTCTGGACATTTCATATAATAGAGCCATAAAATATATGACCTTTTGTGCTTAGCATAATGTTTTTAAGATTCATCCATATTGTAGCATGTGTTAGTACTGCACTCCTTTTATGGCTAAATAATATTCCACTGCATGCATATACCACATTTTATTTATCCTTTGTCAGTTGTTGGACATTTGAGTTGTTTCCAATTTTTGGCTGTTGTGAGTAATGCTTCTCTGAACATTTGTATACACGAAAGGTTTTGACTTGTACTTGGTCAGATCAGTGTTGCTCTTTTCCTTTGTAAAGATTGCCATCTTTCTTGTCATGTTAGCAGAGCCTTCTCCACGTAGACCCTATGTAAATATTCATGTGACTTTTTAAAAGTATTTTTAGGAGTAAATTATTCAGTTTCAGTCTTTAGTAATTCTGATCGCTTTAGCTTCGTAATGCATTTTAAGATATATTTTGTCAACCTCTAGAAAGAAATCTGATGGGATTCTGAACAAAGGTTAAAATCAGAAATTTAGGAAAGAATTGTTAATTTTGAATCTTCCTGTGCTACAATATGGCATGTCTCCTTTATACAAGTTTTCTTTTATGTACCTTATACTGTCAGTTATTTGTGGGTTTTTATTCTTATTGCT